AAAGTATACGGTTCCCAAACACTTGGGATAGAATCAATTGTAAAGTGAAGTGAAGTTTAATACTTTCATAGAATTGTAATTTTCTCTTCAGAATCGATTAAAATTTATTAATGTAAAAACTTTCTGTAACCTTTTCCAGCCGAGTACAGGGACATTGGCATCGACGAGGGCGAGGGCGAGGAGGGCGACGAGGAGGAGGACATGGTCGGCGAGGAGGAGGGCGAGGAGGAAGGCGAGGGCGAGGAGGAGGTGGAGCTGAAGCATCGACCGGGCAAGAAGCTGCCGAAGGAACTGCGCCGTGCCTACAAGCCGCGTCCCATCATGTTCGGTTACAGGATGCGCGAAAAGGACTGCCACTTCAAGATCCAGGGCAGTCTGGCGCTCGAGGGCCGTGAGGAGGGCTCCTTCAAGACGATCAAGCCGTGCTACTTCGCCTCCGCCCTGGCCATCATTAGTTGCTCCCTGCGTCCTCTGAACCAATGGAACTCTTACCGCATCGATAGGGTGATCAATAATGCCAAGGCCATTGCCACGGGAGTTTGTGAACTGGAGTCGGTCTTCGAAAGGGTGGTTCGTCACGTTACCATCGATGATTACGAGTTTGACATCTGGATACGATGCTTCGAGGCGGCGGGCATGTGGACCCCAACTCCGGTAAAGAAACCTGGTACCCCCGAAGTGGGTCTCATGATCTTCAAGAAGAAGTTCGGCAAACTGTTGAACCTCCGCAAATACATGATCATCTTCACGCCCAACGGAAGTTATGCCATCTACCACGACGAGTTCTTCCACGTGTTCGATCCTTATGGCAGTATGGAGAAACCTGGCGGGGATGAAGAGCAGACAGACGAGGGCGACGAGGAGGGTGGTGGAGGAAAGAAGAAGAAACGTTGTCCCAAAGGACCAAAGCGTTGGCCCGAAAGGAACACTGCCTCGTGGGTTCTTCATTACGATGTGGATTCCGTTATCAAGTACATCGACGATCGGAGTGCCGTGAAGAACTGGAAGGAGAAGAACCTGTACAAGTTCTTCCTGGTGGATGTCCTGTCGCACAAGAAGGCCGCACCGAATGCCCGAATCCTGCAACTGCTCACGGATCTCTCGATACCCATGACCTGCACCAATAAGCAGTACGGCAGACCCGAGTACGAGATCTGTGCCACCAATGAATCCCTTGGATGGCTGGAACTGGAGAACTGTCTGCCCGTCTGGAGCAGGTTGAATCGCCGCAATACGGCGGGAAAATATCGCAATCTGCCCATCAGCAAGATCAAGAAGTTCGACATCGAGATCGAGGGACGTCTGTGGTCCTTGTGGGGCAATCTCCACCCGGAGGCTCCGGTCTTCGAGGACGATGTGAGAGGTCGCCAGTATCTTGGCTGCTATGTAATGGCCTGCTGTGCCGCCAGTGTCTACCGGCTAATGGACTGGAGTCCCCATCTCCTGGACACCATTGTGGTCAGTGGAAACACCTACTTCAAGGAGAGCATCGATCAGATCAGCAAGGAGGACTACGAGTTCTCGCTCGAGAACCTCAACATCGACTGCTCCATGGACACCATCAACTTTGTGGTGCACATCGAGCATGTGTGCTATGGCAAACTGTATCGGGTGCCCACCTTCAACCGGATGAATCTCTCCGAGGCTCTGATCTACTTCTTCAGCCACTATCAGTTCGGCATAGTGAGTGTGCGAAAGCGTTCCCTGGCCATCGGGTTCTGTCCTGGCCACGATGGCGGATACTTTATGTACGATTGCCAGGAGAAGGACCACCCGCTCTTCCCCAAGCAGCAGGGTGCCTCCTACATGCTGCGCACCCGCCACCTCCAGGTGCTCCTCTACTGCGTGGTGGTCACTCTGAATGTGCCGTTCTACAACATCGACTTCAGCATCCACAAGGTGGAGATGCTGCGCGAAGGAGCCACCGTCGAAAACGAGGAGGAGGAGGAGGACGCCGAGGAGGGCGGTGCTTGAGAAGATTCGTTTGGTATTCGTGGGGTCGGACCCTGAGGATTTAGTTACTGATTGTTTGGATAATATATATGGAATTAGGGACATCAATAAAGCCTTAAATTACTTTTTAAATTTATCGTTTTGGGTTTGTGAACATGTGGTTAAATGTTTCTATGTCTTACCAAAACATAATTTATGGGTTTTGGGATTTAATTTTTTTTTCCTTCATGATTCGAAGTTTTACTTAAGTAAAATTCATTAAAGTTTTAGGCTTTAATAAATATAGTTTTCTGAGTTATAGAAATAAAACCAGAGATAATGTTTTATTTTTGTATCATATCAAACTTATCAATAAAGAATGCCATTCTCCCTTTGACATTTAATTCTAATCGCTGTTTGATCTTACTGAAAGATTTCCATATTAAGAACGACATTTTACTCACGTTTTACCCACTTGGTGACTAATAGAACCAGCCAGAATTAATCAAAAACAGATACTCTTCAAAGTCGAAATTTAATCGGTTCTCTAAGAACTAAGCTAAACATTTAACAACAATCGGATGACGCAAGGCCGGATGACTCGATTTCGTCATCCGGTGACTCAAGTCTGGGTGACTTAATGCCGCAGACGACGTTGCTCCTCGGCCTGTTTGTAGTGGTAGCCGTCGGCACGGAGCTCGTGGGCGGGCTCCGGGTCGAGTTGCTCCTGGGTCTCCACATCGGATGGAGCCATGGGCTGCTGGACATCCAGAACGTAGGGCATCTGCTGCTCCTCTTCCGCTGGCTGATCCTGGAACTGCTGGGGCTGCTGCTCCTGGGGCTGCTCCTGGGGCTGATCCTGCTGCTGCTGCTGCTGCTGCTCCTGCATCTGGAACTGCTGAATCTGCTCCTGGTACTGCTGGTAGGTCAACTGCTGGTCGGAAACGGGAGCGGGGGGCAGGTAACGGTTGGCGGGCTCTGGCTGCTCCTGGAGCTTCTCCATGACAGCCTCCTCAGGAGCCATCATCTCCATTTGGGGCATCATCATGGGCTCAGCATCCATCTGAACTGGAAGAGGAACTGGAGCAGGTGCAGGTGCAGGTGGCAGGTAGCGAGTGGAGAGCTGGGCTTCTTCCTCCTGATCCGCTGGAGCTGGGGGAGTGAGCAGGCTGCTGGGCATCGCCTCCATCTGACCCTGCTCATTCAGACGCATGTACTCCACCTGTTCGGGCAGCTCACGCAGCTCCTGCGGCTCGATGCTCATGGACACCGCGTGCTCCGGACGAGGAGGCGGGAGATAGCTGCTCCCGGGCTGCAGGTGGGACACATCCGCGGCGGCCAGGCAGGCGCACAAAGCGAAAGTCAGGCAGAAGGTTTTCTTAACAGGATAGGAAATAAATAAATTTATTAAAACTTAGAACTATAAAAATTTACTTCTTTGTTATACTATAAAATAATCTTTTTTAAAAAGTCAGACAGAAGATTTTTCGGTTAGAATTCTAAGTTAAAAAAAACTTTATCCCAAAAACAGATTTTGTTATTGGAATTTTTTTTAAGAAACTAAATTATATATTATTTATTATTGCAGTTATCCTTATACCCTTGGTGATCCTTGTTGGAGCTTATAGATTTCTTTGTGAATACTTACCATCTTGTTGGATGTTTGGCTGTGAGGCATCTGATGTCGGAACTGTTGGAAGTAATGATATTTATAGGAGTACAGCTTCATGGCGGACCTTCAGTTGTCTTGGCCCATTCAAAAAGTTCAAACAGTGGTCTTCGGGGCGGATTCCGTTATTTGTGCAGACCATCGATTTGTCGTCGGTTTTCGGGTTTCGGTTTTCGGCTTTGGTTTTGATTTCGATTTTGGCGCATCTCGACAAACAATCAACGAACAAACATTCGAATGCCTAAATGTTCAAATATTCAAGCTGAATCATCGCCACTGGCCGCCAAGCAAACCGAAGCAATTCAATCCCATCCGATCCAAGTAAAGCCTCAATTGGTCTCAGTGTAAGCCGCTTTTGGCTGTTTTCTTACCCTTGCAGAAGGTCATTACGATTTTTAATGGTGACGAGGAAAACAAACTATCCAAATAAATGAAAACTAAGAAAACATTGAAATAAACAATTACATATAGAAACTTTAGTGTCTTACTTGATTTCCTTTCTATATAACCATATATTATTCCTAAAAAAATATGTTGTATTTTATCTTATTTTAAGTCCCAGTATTTGTTTTAGTAAATTTTATATTGATTATTACAAAATATTTAACCAATATGATATATATATATAAAAAATCATATATCAAATATTTATTGTGAAATTTCGTAAAGACTTTATTATTTACTGAAACAGAGTATTTAATCTTCAGCATTATCAGCACGTTTATCCATTTTTACCGCTCCCCTCTTTATTTCGGTCTTCACATGCTGGCAGGTGCCACTTGACGGGGCGTTTGACAATCTCAATGGCGCTCGAGAGCTCCGGCTCGAGGCGTATAAACTGGAGCATGGCTGGTCTGGGAATCCAAGGTTTCCCGAATTTGCTTTTCACTCTGTGGTTTTTGCACGTCCACACCTGACCTTCGTCGTCGGATTTCACGGTCAATGGATGGGTCCAGCACCTGACCGAAGATGTCGCCGTATCTCCAAGGGGCCGGACCGGAAAAGCAAATAACCAATCGAGCAAAAAATCCCATATAAGCCTCTTGAGAAAAAAATTATTTATTTGCGATGTTTGTATTTCCAGAATTTGCATACAAGAAGGTCATAAGATTCTAAAAATATATTTCTCAGTATTGATGCTAGCATATATGAACTAGTATATTTTGATGGTAAGAAAATATGGATTTAATAAAAGAAGAAGAAAGAATTAGCTTTTCGACATATACATTTAACATTTTTCTGCTGCTTAAAATTATTTTATTAAACTTTAGAACATTTTATTTAAATATATTATACATTTTAATATTTTCTTAAAAATTAACATAGTTGAACTTATAATTAAACTGATCGTTTGTTCTATAACTTTTTCCAATCCAGTTGTCAGGTTGTCAAAACTCAAAAATACCTTTGCAACTCCATTAACATTGTTTACATTCCCATGTTATGGGAACCGAACCAAAAACTGTAATCTGTTGTATATTTTCGGTAACGCTTTTATAAATTGTTTATTAGTCTTTTTATTGGCTTGGCCCACCATCTTGGTCTGGATAGAGCATGTACGAGTGCAGTCGCTGCGGTAATCGAAGGAGCAGACTTAGTCCTCGCGCCTGCGAAAAATTCGAAAGCGCCTGGGAGGATTGCATAGATGGTGCCTCCAGTTGGTGCAACTTGTGCGGCGAACTGACCTTCTTTATGAAGTGCTCCGCCGCCAGAGATTCGGCTCAGCAACTTACCAGCAACAGCTTGGACTCGATCGATTCGGTTCCCTTTACTATATCAACGGGTTTGCTCAGAGGGGCCCTCAATTCGCGCACTGATATCCAGAATCAGCAGGCCGCCAGTCTGGCTAACCATCTGAGTAACTGGGCCGTCGAGGCCGTGGATCCTCCGAAGAACGGTGGATCCTTCGGTGTACTGCGCAACAGACATGGCTACTTGGTTCGGAATCGAAACAGCCAAGATGAGGCTGTCACACCACCAGTGACTCCACTTAATGTTACTTCAGCTGCGAGTACTCCATCCCAGAGCGAAGAAGGGTCTCCAAGTAAGTCAAGTACTGAGGGACGGTCAAAAAAAGCTGCAGGATATGAAAAGATCAAGGGCATCGAACTCTTAAGATCCACGCCTCCCAGGCATCTGAATCCAGAATTACCCCTTGAGTCGGATCGGCGTCTTACCCCTATTAATCCTTATACAAGATCGTACAAGCAGCGCGCTGACCATAACCAAAAATCTCAAACCTCTACGAAGCGAGTAAGGAGTATAGATGTCAATTCTGCTGTCCCTGGTTTTTCCCTCAAGGATGTAAGGAAGCTGCAGCGACGCTTTGCTGCCGAAGAATCCTCCGAGCCTGGGACCTCCAGACCAAAGAATACCAGCAATGTCGAGCTTCAGAAGAAGCTACTCGAGAAACGGCTACAAATGAGAAAGATGGTTGCCATACGAACAAGGCTCGATGTGGAATGTAAGACAGCCCAAACGGAATTGGATGTCCTGGAGAGAAGTAATCTTCGCTCGTCCTCAAGACGAAGTAAGCGACAGAGTGGAGGAGCTCACATGGCATTGCAACAACTGGTCTCTAGATTGCAAATGGAAAAACAAATTGAAAAAGAAAAGAAGTTGCTCAGAAAAAATAGTCTGGAGACAGTGATGAAAGCCCTACGAGAACAAATTAAACCAAATATAAAGAGAAAGGAGTTGGACTCGGATCAAACGTCCCTGGAAAGCCATGAGCAATCGGCTCCACCTCTAGAAACTGAAACCGAAACCGATACGGAAACCGTGACTGAAAGTGATTGGGTTTCCAGGCCGGAAACCATCATAGATAGTGGATCATCAACCACACCAGCTGAAAGTATAGTTGTGAAAAAGAAGAGGGTCTATGTACCCCTTCCCTATCAGCTGAAAAATCCCATTGCAAAACCCGGAAATGTGGGTTTTTACATGCCCAGCGCCTATAATCCCAAGGATTGTATTCAGCGATCCCAGCCATTGGGTGAATCCCGCAGGATCTGTGTCCTGTTGTCATCGGCGCAGCGTGCTTTATTTCGCAGATTCGTAAACGATCCCCTGGATATAGTGAAGTTGATCAGGAGTCTGAATGAATCAACGGAAGTGACTTTGAATGCCCCCAGTGCTCAGTTCTCTACGATAGCGTGCTCGGAAAAGGAACTGATCCATCTCATCGAAAAGAAACCGCATGTGACCAAGATTCCAAAGGCCAAGGAACTGGATGTCTCCCGATCGCCAATCCGTTGTCCCGATTCCGATTGCCAGCGGCTGTGTTTCGTCTCCGACTTGAATAACCATCTGTTGCTGGATCATCGATCCCTGACCATCGAGCGAATCAAGGCCAGGGAGACCAAGACCTTCTTTCTGGACACCAACATGACGATGTTCGATAGGCCCAAGTGCCACATGGTCTATATGGTGCGGGATAAGGTCTTCGATAGCCATGCCGAGGATCTGCGCGATCTGCTGCCCGTTTTGGTGATGAGTGGTCGCACCTATCTGACCAAGACCTTGGCTATTCCGGGATCTCAAGCCGCCCGGATTATCAGCCGGGCGAAATCCAGTTCCGATATGGAGCTCTTCGTCCTCTGGCTGACTGGATTTTTGCCGCGGAATATGAGACCCATGGCCACCATTTCGCTGTGGTCCACTATGGGTCCCAAGATGGCCAGTTGCGTCGGAGTTAGTACTGGCTATATCTATGATATCCGGGCTCCCAACGAGGTGAGCCAAATCTGCCGCAGTCGATGCTCCATGGTGCTGCCCATGAAAATGATCACCAAGATGACCAACGACGCACGCAGATTCCTGGCCGTTCAGGTGCAGATCTACTGAAGATCAATCTACAACGAGATCTAAATTTTACCGTTCTGATCGGATACATTTTTATCAAATAAAGCATTTTAAGGATCACAGTTTTATAACAATTTGTGTTATTAATGGTTGCAAGTGGAAAATTAATTAGTTATAATAGATATAACTTCCCGATCTGAGTAAAGTATCTTTTGATTTGATTTTATAAATGGGTGTCTATAGAGATGAAGATCATCCAAAAGTATTGCATACTTATAGGCTTCTTGATAGGTCTCCTCCAAATTGGCGCACAATTATATTGCCTACTTTTTTGGGAGCCCGATTGCCGAACTTTAAAACCATTTATCTGACTTCTTATACAAAAATAAATCAATAAATCAATAAAAATTCGTCAAGCTAGTTTTCTAATAAATTAAAGCACAAAATACCTTTGAATTTTTTGTTACATTTTCCACCCCTTGACTTTTCTGTCTTATAGCACTATTTCAAACGATAGCAACCATTCGGTTGAAACTCGCAAATAATACTCAAAAGATATTTTCTTGTTTGTGTTTTTAATTCTTTTCGACGTAAAGCGACGTAAATTTTAGATTTTCAAAAATTTGCATAATCAAAATTATATTAAGTTAGCTGTTCAATATACCGATGCACCTTTTTCGGCCCAAATCAAAGATAAGTGAAGAGCAGACCATGTCGTCTCAGGTCGGTGAAAAACGCGGAGCAGTCGGCAGTGGCAACGACATGGATCCCACCGAGAGCAACTTCGCCCTGGAGCTGAAGCCCACCCCCAAGCAGACCTGCATTCCGGAGCACCAACGCCAGCGATTGGTCAGCTCGGACACCAGGTGAGATATGATAAAGGAATATTAATTGTTAATTCAAATGTTTAAGGATGTATTTTAAATGATATTTTTTAAACTAGTTGGAAAAAGGTAGTATTCGAAAAATATACAGCTTTTTTTAAATTGGTTAGTATTATTCATGAAGAAAACAATGATTAAATGGATCTTTTTATTGAAAGATATTGAATCAAGTGAGGGTTAATGATGATTTATAAACATTACTTTATTTTGCTTTACAAGGAATCGAAATTATTACCTTAAGTAACTAATATATTTTTAAAGTACCTATCTTATTGACCATCCACCTTTTTAAAGACCCCTTTTTTACATTATATTATCGTTTTCCAGTGTTTACCAGCGAGATGGCGTTTTCGACATGCCGGACAAGTCCTGGTCGGTATTGTATTTCAGCTCTGGGAAGGACAGGGCCTTGAAGTAGAGCCTTCGTAGCCGCAGACCAGACAGATGACCTGTTCCCCATCGCAACATCCCCTATTAGCACCAATTTAAATCGAATGTCTGCAACCGCCTGGCCCACTGATTGACTCCTTCGCCACCACATTCAACCACCACCAGTCATCCATCAGATGTCGCGAAATGTTATATAAAATTGAAATTCGCCCGCGTGCCAGTGCATATTTGATCTTTTTGTGTGGGTTTCGGTATGGCTGCAATTGATGATGTTGTCTCCGGCGGTTCTGATACGAAAGATTGTGATTAATGGAGACAGCGTCATTGAGCGCGATCTGCGGCGCTTCAGACATATAGTACTACTATAAAAATCGCAGAGAGATCCATGATATGACATCATACCCATGCCACCCGACACATTGAGCCAAGATTGCCATTGCTCTTGAGAAGTGTCAAGCGAACATTTCTATCAAAAGCGGAAATAATGGCTTAATGAGACAAATGACGCGACTGACATCTGACAGTCTCCTAAGACGTGTGAATTTCATGAAATTGATGCCCAATTTTTGCAATCGTCGTGTCAGTTATGATTAATTTGCGAACTGAATTCTTGGCACGATATGCTAATCTTTTAAAGAATATTCTAAGCATAGGGATAATTTTAGAAAGAAGCATACATATACGTAATACATACAGATATTACATTACATTACATTTTTTAAGTAGTACAAACTTTTCATATTTTTTTATACTTTTAAACCTATGTTATAAGTCTGAGTTTCGGCACCCATGCTCAGCTGACCTTTTGTGATTCCCCCACCATAAATTGATGGTCTGTCTGCGTTTAAAAATAGCTCCGTAAATAGCTTTCTTTCAAGCATGCCAAAATCTGTTTGTCTGCTCGTTAGCATATCTGCATACTGAATATTTGGCACTGGCTGCAGATGGGTGGATTCAAAGATTCTTAACCACATGTAAGCTTTTAATCCATCTGAAGTGTCTGACCTAGATCATGTATTTAATTAACATATTTAGCTGCTTGCTAAATTTAATATTTCGTTTTGGATAAATGATAAGAGTGATTCAACTGGTTAAAAAAAACATTCCATTTAATCTTGTTAACATTTGTGTCCTTTAGTAGTCAATGAAGTGACTACTAAGGGTAGATTTAAATTTCTATTTATAACTAATGTGTTTGCAATATGTAAGTTTCCCTAAACCTTGGCCGTCAGTCAAAAAGTTTACAATGGCCCTAGGAAATGTCTCATTTCCGCTGTGAATTTCTTGTTTGTTCGCTGCATATTTTACCCATTGCAACTGCAATTTATAAATGAGCTGAAAGTGGAAGTGACATCAGTTGGCATTCAGCTATAACAAGAAATACAATTAATACCATTCGAGTGCGAAGTGAGATCAGACCAGGGCTATAAAAAGAGAATTTATTGAATTTATTTGGCATGTGAAAGTGCCGAACTTTAGTCGAATTTATTTGGCCACAATTCCTGGGAAAACGGTTAGTTGCGTTCACACCATGAGCTCCCTTTGTAAATAGTATACACGTTCGCCTATTTGTTTGCCACATTTTGTGGCCTGTTTGCTGCTATGTTCTAATTGAAATGGACCACAAAATTGTTCTATACTAAATGCGGCATGCCGCAAACTTCAAAGTTTCGCTCTCCTCTGCCGCCTTCTGATTGATGCTTATGATTGATGGAGTCGCACTCGATTTTCGTTTATTTTTTTGACCGCCTTAAAGTTTTTTGCCATTGGCTCTTTTCACCAATTTGATACAATTGAACTTTGTCGTGTGTCCACACAGAATTCTTTCCATACATTATGCATAATTTGCATAAAAAATATGGGCAGCTCAAAGTCCAAAGTGCCAAAGTCGCTAGTGTTTTCATTTCCCCCTTTTTTGTGCGGCTCGTGTTTTTTTTTTCTTATGTGGTAAAATCTCACATTTCCATAAGGCAAACATGAGCATAAGCATAAAATTATATATGCACAAGAATTGGCAGAGCCATCGAAGCAACGACAACTGCACTTGCAAGTCGCAACAATCTGAGCAGTGCACTCAAAGAAAAGAGCCAAACATTTAACTGTTAAAAATTTTTTTTTTAAATTATACAAAGAAATTCCATTTTTTTAAAGCATTAAAAAGCATAATTTGTATATGAACAATTTTATTAGGTTTGGGTATTTTCAAGGATTGCATATTAAAACGTATTCAGATTATTCAAATTTATTTATTTTTTAAGTTTCTGTCTTGAAAATAATATATTTTAAAGTCAAGTGTATGTGTATTTATATTTTGTATATTTTGTATATAAGATTTTACGAGAAGGATTGGAATTATAGCTTAAAACAGTTGAAAAGAGGAAATATAAAATACTGGAAATTTGAATTCTCTTATATTCTACATTTAAAGTCTTCTTTTTGACAAGGGTTAAAATTTTAACCCATTTTCATGTTCGATTTTTCCGTATTCCAATGGTTTTCCGAATGGGGACCCAAACCTGCACTTCCAGATTCCATAATATTAGTTATTGGAGTCCAATCTCGACGTGGGATACCTCAATGAGTTTGTGTTTGAATTCTCTTATATTATACATTAAAAGTTTTCTTTTTCACGAGTGTCAATATTTTAACCCATTTTCATGTTCGATTTTTCCGCATTCCAATGGCATTCCGAATGGGGTCCCAAAACTGCACTTCCAGATTCAATAACTTTATTTATTTAAGTCCGATTTAGACGTGGGATACTTCTATGAATTTGTGGCGAAATTCCCTAATATTCTACATTTAAAGTTCTCTTTTTGACGTGGGTACAAATTTTAACCCATTTTCATGTTAGATTTTTCTGCACTCCAATTGCATTCCGAATGGGGTCCCAAAACTGCACTTCCAGATTCTACAACTTTAGTTATTTAAGTCCGATTTTGACGTGGAATACCTCTATGAATTTGTGGCGTAATTCCCTAATATTCTACATTTAAAGTTCTCTATTTGACGAGGTTCGAAATTTCAACCCATTTTCATGTTCCATTTTTCGTAATTCCAAGGGTGTCAGAATGGGGACCCAAAACTGCACTTCCAGATTCCATAACTTTAGATATTGGAGTCCGATTTTGACGTGTGATACCTCTATGAGTTTGTGTTTGAATTCTCTTATATTCTACATTTAAAGTTTTCTTTTTGACGTGGGTCCAAATTTTAACCCATTTTCATGTTCGATTTTTCCGCATTCCAATGGTTTTCCGAATGGGGACCCAAAACTGCACTTCCAGATTCCATAACTTTAGTTATTTAAGTCCGATTTAGACGTGGGATATAGAATACAGAATATAGATATCTGAAAAAATAAATTTAGTAATATAAAAATGAATTTATATTTTTGAAATCTAAAACCATTTCGGTATAAAATATTATTTTGGATATAGGCTTTTACAGATAAAGATATAAATTGTTTGCTTAGAGCAGTTGGATATAGTAATAAAAAACCATTCAAAATCGATGTAAATGGTCCTGATGTATTTTTGTTAAGTATTAAACTATAAAACCTTAGCTCGGTTTCCCAACACTTTTCTCCCAGTGCAGCACTATTGGTTAAGGAGGTTATATTGTGTGCAGGGGGTTTCTTTGCTCTGGCCAAAATTTCGCTTCACTTGTTGTGGCTGTAATTGCTGCCGTTTCCGAGGGGCCAAAAGGGGCGGTGGGAGGTGGGAGGTGGGAGGTGGGCGGTGTTTGGTGGGTGTACGGCAGAGGATTGGTATCTGTCATTGACATGGATGGTCGTCGTGGTTCGTGCCTGCAGCCCAAATGCGTTTTGCATAATTTTAAAGCCTCTTTAAAGCCAAATGCAATTACGGGTTGCGATTTTGTGACCGAAACTATTTCGCGCATTTCCCTTCTTTTTTTTCGGTTACTTTTTTGGAACAAATTGAATTTCACTCTTCGTTGAACATCGATGGGGTGGAAAGAGAGATTTTCCATTTCCCATGCGTCGCATACGTGTTATTTGCGAATTTGCAAAGCGCGAACAATTTTGATCAATTTCTATGCAATTACTTTCTGCCAATTAGAGGGAAATTGATTAATTAGCCTTAGCTAGTGCGTATGAAATATGCTTAATCAATTACTGATGATGCCGGGTAAAAAGGTTTATGGTCCATATCTGTCGTTAGTTTAGTCAATTATTTACGAATTATGTTCTCAATGAAGACGAAAACTAATATTCTAACACAGTTTTCCCATTACTCATGGCTGGAAGAAATATACGGGTGATTCAGGTAGAGGATTGGGATTATTCACATCGATAAGAGTGCCTAAGATGATGATTCAGATTTCCGAGTTTTATTTTGTGAAGATGATTCAGAATAGCTGGCAAAGAACAAAATGTAACACGTTCCATTCTGTCAATGATCTCTTGTACTTTTTTTTGGAATCAAACGACGTTAATGACGCTCCCTAATTGAACTTGAACTTGATGTTAAGTGACAGCAATTGAAATGTCTTAATTTCGTACCCAAAATTTGGGTCAATTCATGCGGAATTTCTTGGAATGCAGGCAAGTGAATAATTTTTATACTTTTAATTACTAGTTTAATACTGCACAGACTTACGCCAAAAATGTTCAGAAAACAATCTATCAAAGTTGCGTAACTTTTTGAATAGTTTTGAATATTCATAAAACCAGAAACAAAAGCGCTGCCCCAGTGGCAAAACAATGTTGTACTCTGTGGCATGTGAATGCCGTCTAAGCGTAAATATATTGAAAATCGATTAGAGCAAAGTGGACAGGAAAATAAACAAAATGGAAATGACATCGCCAGACAACGTGGCTCTGGGAACTGGCGGCCACGCATAATTCTTGAGCTGCTGGCTTTTGGGGATGCACAGAGAAAAAAGTTTATAAGCCAAAAATTAAGTAGATAAAGATTTAAATTAAATTTTAATTAAATTAGAATTTTAATGGCCCCAAACATTTATTTTTAATAAAGGTTTTTCATACCATATTTAATATACAGATAAAAAATATTATTTAAACATATTTAATAGTGCATTTTTACCCTATAATTATAATTTTATAAATATTTATAGGCCATTATTTTACACAGATAATAACAAGACATGACCAACTTGTTAAAGGATCAACTAGTTAAATTTACATGTATCATTTTCAGCACTGAATAATGTAAAATAGATATTGGAAATTGGTCATTTTC